TATTTGCATCGCTCAGTAGCTGAAAACAACATTTAGGTAGATACTAAATGTATTTAAATTGTAAATATCAATATTTACATCCGCTTGCAAAAATCTCGCTTGATACAGAAAAAACTGACAAATTACAAGCTGAAATTATATAATTGATGCGATTTTCTTTTTCACATACTATAATATTTTTTTTGTGTTTGATCGAAAATTCTTCAAATTTATTTTTTTTATTTCTTTACACTTATTAATAAAGAATACTGTCTACACACATTTTTAATTTTTTCAATATAGAAAAACTTTTTTAGGTTTATAAACGCGTTTCTGAAAATTTTCATGTTGGCTGTCGTGATATGCAGCGGCTTGATTTTATTATATTTGTTGACTTTTTTGTTAGATTGTTATTTTGCCGAAAATTATATTTTTTTTATTGTAAAATAGTTAATTTTATGATCATGTAGAATCACGGCGAACTTAATAAATTTTAGAATATTGATTGCATTTTCATTTATAGATAGCAAATTTATTGAATTTTTTAAATATAAAACAGACTGCATCCGATTCAAAGCAATCTTTATTCGAAAATTTGTGCCTTAATTATGCTATTTATCTCCTTTGGAGTTAAAAAAAACTGTATCAACCGTCTGCTTTCAAAAATTATGATTGTAACTCTTACTAAATTCATTTTGATTAAAAAGAAAATGTTTTCTTGTTTATTTTTTGGTTTTTCAATTTAAAGTTATTCAATTTTTTTATTATGGCAGAATGGAAAAAACTGTTAATGCAATTATATATATTTTACTAATTCTTATGATGCATATTTAACTTTTGATATGAATTTTACAACATTTTCATCATTTTACTGATTGAAGCTTTTGTAAGGTATGATATCTGAATTTTATTATTTTTTTTAATTTTTCTTCCTACTAACAACTGCAATTCATCTCGCCTTAAATAGGCATTGTCAATAATTTTGATAGAAATTAAAAATTTCCATAATTAACAGGGCAACTTACAGATGTTTAAAGGAAATTCACTTTTTTTAGTGCGTAATGATGCAAATGATACAAAAAAATAGAAAAATTTTTATTTTATGTAAATTTTCACCGTTTTGTTGATGTAAACGTTAAAATATTTCAAATATCAAAATATTTATTGTATTCAATACCCAAAAAGTATATAAGAATGTATTTTCTCTAAGTTATAAAACATAATCTATTTTAATTGATAATAGGAAAATCATTTCCTTTGAAAATGACATTTTTGCTTATAAAAAGTATATAAAATGCATTCTTATGATTTATTTCTACAAAAATTACATTTTAAAAAGAAATGGCCTTTTTAACATGTAAATAAACAAAAAATTGTTTTTTTAAGTGTATATTTTTGGATTTATGTATATATTCTGTACACATTTTTGGAAAGTCATATAAATATTTTAAAGTTTTTTTATTTGAAAAATTCTATGTTAAAGTTATTGAATAAATAATACAACAGCTGAAGATATTAAAAAAACTTTAATTTGTGCATAAAATATGTTTTTTAACAATATAATCTTTGATGCTAAATCAATTAAACAATTCATTGAAATTTTTAGCACATTTTATGATAAAAACCACTGTATTCTCATATACAAGAAATAAAATATATTTCATTTGAATTCAAACAAAGAAATATCTTTGATAATTTATTAACTTGGTAAATGGCTTTAGAAAAATAGGATGCTTTTGTATTAGGTATTTATTTTTAAATGGTTATTGTGTGACAAAAATTTTCTTATAAAAATATTTCATGATGGTATCTATTTTATCACACTGGTTATTTATGATCTTGTATAATGTAAATTATTAAGCCTTTTTTTTAAGTAATAAAACATTTATATTTTTTCAATTATCAAAATACACTGTTTGTTGTTTATTAATATTTTAAATTCATCAAAACTTATTGTAAAAAATCGCAGCAAAAAGTATCTGGTTATTTATCGTGTAAATTTTTTAATTATAAATTTATTTAAATTACTGTAAAGAATTAGAATTAAAATATTTCTTGATTAGAATTTAATAACCAAGTAAAAATAAATTTTTTGTTGGATAATTTTATAACAAGGCAAAGAAAATTGACATTTTAGATCGATCGGAGAATTAAATATTGTTTGATTTTTTTTGTTTGTTTCATAAAATTTAGAGTTATGTGATCAGTGTATTGGTAAAATTATAATTAGTATAGTCTTCCTACAAATTTTATTATACGATTTACAAAGCAATTGTATTTTCAAATAATAAAAAATATATGATCCGCTTTCATCTAAAATTTCAAAAAAGTATATGATATTTATTTTTTCAGCTTACATTCCACCTTTATTAAGACGCCTTATTGAATGAAGTTTATCATAAAAATTTCTAAAAACAATATAAGAAATTAAATGTTCAAACAAATAGCAACAGAATGCCGTAAACCAATGGCGATACATTGGTGCGGAGTGCAAATAAAGCATAAGGGCAAAAAGAACGAATATTCAATGATGAATGTTTATTAATAAACGGTAGGCTCTGACTCCCAGGGTTGTTCCTGCTGGGGTAGTCCAGTCTTTGTCCTTTCTCCAGATGCTTGGTATCCTTGTGCCTTTGCTCCTGCATTATAAACCTTAAGGGCTCGAATAAGCACCTTTTATTAGGCAACAAGTAGGGACTTTTTGGAGGGATTTAAGGAGAAAAGCAAGGCAAAAGATTTTACGTGGTAATCAGTAGGTCGGTCGCTTACTAACGCTACTAATTGGACATTTGCCAAGCCATTGCTATTATTTGTGGTAATTTTATTTACCGCAGAGCTATATCGTAATTTGTGTTGCTTTTAAAAAAAACTAGAATGCCCTAGCAGATAGAAGATTTATTTTTAATTTGATAATTTTCGAATTAAAATAAAAACATGGTGTTGTGTTATCATAAAAATATAGTTACAAATACTAAATCTAAATTTGTTATAAAAAACAAAACAAAGTAAGTTCCAGGTAAAATAATTGATTATAATGGTGTAATCTATAAAATTTTTTTAAGCTTTTTATTCCTAAAAAGTAGCAGCAATTGCATTTTGTAAAATTTTAGTTGTTTTTTTATTGTATCTCACTTACTTTTATATATATATATGCCAACATTAGTATTTTTTCATTTTGAAACATTGCAAAAATATGTAAAATTTGAATTAAATGGCATATTAATGATTACTATAACACTTTTTAAATTGAAATTTTATATAAATTATCTTAATATTTTTTTGAAATTAACTTATTGTTATTTGTAAATTGTAACAAGCCAAGCATTTTAAATGCTAAATTTAACAAAATATTTATATTTTTTTGATTATTTGTAATTTTTTTCATTTATTTCACCCAATTTTCTATTCTCTTAGATTTTCCATGTTTTTTACATTCAATTGAAATACAGATTCAATTGAAAAAATTCGGTTCTGAATAATAAATTAAATTTAGTATTTTTCCTTACAAAATAACGCAATAACAAAATTCAAGGAAATTTTTGAATATATCCAAAATAGTTATAGTTATAAAAAATATTGAAATAAACGAATTAAAACGTTTTAATTTTTTTTTCAAAAACCATATCAATTATTAAAAAATCAATTCACTAAGGAAAAAAAAATATGCGTGCTTTGTGAATTAATTTGAAAATTTACAAATTGTAAAATTTATTCTTTTTTTGATATAATAAAATGTTTTAAGAAAAACAATAATAGATTTTTATCATGATACTATGCACAAAAAAATGGTTCAAAAACTATTTAAATTGATCTAATAATAATTGTTGTTAATGAAATTAGGGTATCAAAGAATAAAATTCCAATGATTTCATGTAAAAGGGACAAAAAGAATTACAGATATTGCATAAATAAAGAATCATTTATTATAAGCATTGATTTATATGATGCCACGATATGTATTATAAATAACTATAATTCAATTTAATTTATACTTTTTATTTTTCAAGAAATGTAAGTAAACAAAAAGATAATTTATATAGATTCTATTAGAAAGAACTTTTTGATGGAATTAATAGCTTATATTTGTTGTATTCATATTTTTTTATGCTACATTTATAAATATTAATAATAAATCAATTTTGTGATATTTATAAATTTAAATTCCGTCTTCCAATAAAGAATAATAAAATATCAAACAAAATAAACTTTTATGCACCTTGGTGGAAGATTATGACGATCACAAACCAAAAAGTTTCAAATGTAATCTTTGTGATTATATGATCTATGGTAGACTCTGCAACCCAACAAACAAATGAAAAGATAATTGTGAAAAATAAATATAATAACAATCGCTGCTAAAAACCATCCCCTTAGCTCAATATAACAAAGAATTCGAACATTGTTTAAGATAAAAGTACAATAAAAATAAAATAAAAAGAAAACCTTAATTACAAAGAACAAACTGAAATAATTCATATAAATCTTACTCATTATTTTCCCGAATTCATCTTAATAAGCATATTTTTAATATATTTAATGTTTTTCAAATATTTTATACCAATACCTCTCTACAGGAAAAGTCAGCTGATTCGCCGTCAGCTGAAATATTCCACAACTTTATAGTGAATAGCGAAAAGTATTTAAAACAGTGAATTTTTCGTATTTGGTGTGAATGATATTTACAAGATTATTTTTGTTAAGAGAATAAGCAAATATTGGTGTTTTAAAACTTAAATTTAATCAAGGCTCTAACAGTATATTGAAGATAACATTTTTTAAAAATTAATATCTCAATCACATTACTTTATACATTTTTGTGATCAAATTATATGTAATGCTTTTTTTTATATTAATTTTTATAAATAAATTATTTATACAAGTTAAAAAAGCAATTATTACGCTTCGAAATATCTCTTATTTATGATAATTGCGCTCAAATATATATAATTCGATAAAAAGAACATATCTAACAAAAAAAGAAAATATCTCTGAATGATTTTAAAAATTAATTTTCATCTAAAAAATTACGGCACCAAGCTTTCCTAAAAAATCTCTCGCATAACTACTCACATAGCTTGCAGAGGCTTAAATTCTGGGATTTGACGGTTTCCGGTGCTTTTTTCTGAATATGGCTATGTCATTAATATTTAAAAACCAATATATATACTATTAGCACTTCTATCTATATTTGACCTTAATAGAATTAATTTATATTGGTGGCCCAATATAAACTCGCTTGAACAAATTTATATTTAGCATATTTTAATAGTAAAAAAGAAAGTTCAGCTGATTATTTATATAAAAAAATTCGGCAAACTAGGCATTCAATTTATTATAAATTATTCCATATATCAATTTATATTTTCACATCGAAATATTTTAAATCCCCAAATTTTCACACACATTTGTGCATCGTTATTTTAAACAAAACAATTTTTTCAATAAAATGCTTAAATTTTTATGATTTACTTTCTTTTTATCAGTTACATGAAGCTTTTTAAAATGGAATTTTGTTAGTGATCTTTTAGAGATTAAAAAAATCACAAAAAACCATTTAAGATAAAGAAGAAAATAATGAATATTTATAAAGATTTTCTTATAAACTGTAGTGGTAGAAATTATTGTGTTCACAGTATAAAAAAACGCATAGTAATAGTAGTAACAATAATAGTAATAGCTACAATTATTTAAATAAATAAGTCGTAAACCACAAAAATAAGGAAGTGAAAGAAAGCTACAGCTCTATAATGATTTTAGTGAATTCCGTTCTACTGTGCCTGTAATATTCCTTCATTTTTCACTCTTTGTAAAGTTTTATAGGCCCTTCCTAAGAATCCTTAGGATAGTAGAACAAAGGAAGAACTAATTACTGAGATGGGACATAATGATCAGCATATTTGCAGGAAATACCGAAGCATTGAAAAGCGCCCATATGATGAAAAAAATATACACTTCCCATGTGCATCTATGTTATATTCTTACTCCACTCACATCGGAACGCAAGTAAGTTCAGCAATTAGGTATATTCGTTCTCCAATACTGAAATGCTTGCTTCATTCTGAAATTGAGTATGTTTTTTATTTTAAGTTTAGAAAACCATTGTCACAACATATTAAAGCTTCCAAAAATATCAATGGTAATTTTATAATCTAATTACGACTAACTGGCATAAAAAGTTTATTTTGTGATGACGAAACAACAAAAATCAACAGTAATTTTACTACATTGTTTTATAAAATATCAAATAAAACAGCCTTGAAATATTTTGTATTTTCGACGATAGAAACACAATTACATATAAAAACTTACATAAACAGCATTTCCAACTACGAAATTTTTAATATATGTTTAAAATTCAAAACAGAATGTGAAATTCTTGTCATAACTACTGAGAATAATCTACTACTATATAAATCACACAATTTATATATTAGAATTCAGGATTATCCACATGCAAATGTCGTTCATGTTGCAAAATTAAAATCTAATATTGAAAAAAAATCATCATTATACAAAAACTATAAATATAAAAAGGAATGGAATGATTTCCAAAAATAAAACAAAAGACTAAATATCAAATAATATAATTGTGTCTATTATTTTATGCAAGTTCAAAAATACAGAACCAATCATAAAAAAAGGTGACAATAAAAATCCAAAAATTGTTATAAATCAACAATTTTCATATCAAAAATCGTATGGCTGAATATCTGCAAGATAGAAGATTGGATTTTGTTCAACCGTATAAAAAATTTTTGAGTTAGGAGTATTCTTAGATTAAACATGACACAAATCAAAACAAATATTACGTTTTATATCGATTTTAAAATTATATCTTATAAGTCCATAATATAAGTAGATCATATATAAAAAAAAATACAGTTTATTTTTTTTCTTGTTATTATCTCAGATAACATCTTAATTTGCTATAAATAGAATAAAACTACCGTACTCTATAAATGACCGTCTACGGTAGCGTAAAAAGAGGTTATAAGAAGATGATTTTTGAAAAATGTTTTTATTTAATTAAACTTATTGGAAGTCTCGGATTTTTTCCAATCGAATAAAAAGCTGCCTTTCGCTTTTATCGTTATCTTAATATGCGTTTTTTTCATTCACAAATCATCTTGTTAATTATAAAAATTTTATAGACAGTTTTCAAAGGCAAATGTATTAGATCATTGATAAAAGAGTTCAAATTTATAGCTATGTACAACTATGACAATCAAACAAAAAAATGATAGGTAAAACAAATGTGACAAGTTTACAACATACCACATTTATCATGTGAATTTGTGAATGCAGTAATACCATTTATCCTAAAGAAATATTAATGTGTCAATTTTATTCTGTAAAAATATTTTTTTCTAAATTTTAAATAATAAATATTTATCACTACCTTTTTATTGATAAATTTCAATTTATTGTAAAAAAGATTTGATTTAAGAATTAAATTAAGAAAACTATAGAGTTTTGTACCAAAATTAAATCAAAAAAATTTTACAATGTTTGTAAAATTTACTATTTAATAGAAAAATCCATGCTAAAATGCAAAAATGTGTTGTATTTTATTAATTTTTGCATTTTTTTTACAGAAATTGATTATCTGAATTTGATTTTGTAATAAAAACAGTTTTTTGTATGTTTTTATAAAATAAAAAGCATTTTTATATAATTCTGTAAAATATTTACACCAATTGACATCTATCAGATGGAGTTCTTAATATATAAAAATTTATAAAACCATGTTTATAATACTTTTAAATCAACTATAATTAATTTTTTTTGATAATCAATTATTTTTAAGATTAATAAAATCATTAAAATTATCGGATAGATAAATTTTATCAAATTAAAAATATATTTGTATTCATATGAAATATTTAATGCGTTAAATTTATGAATATAATTTATGTTTTTTTATTCAGCAAAAAGTAATTCAGAATAATTTTATACAAGTAATATTCAACTTGCGATTTTTTTCAAATCAGCTTTATTTTTCAAAATAATCCATTTTTGTTTACATAATAAACAAAAAATTTTCTGTAAAAATTTTTAACATACAAAGGTTCAAGAAATTCGGTTTTTATGTGTGGTACACTTTAGAATTGTGCAATATCTAGATAAATATTAAATATAGAATTTAATGTAAATGAGTTATCAAATTGAATTTAAATTATAAAAAATATTAGATTAGGGATTTCGATATCGTAAATTCAATAGTATGAAAATTTATCATTTATAATAATAGGAAATAAAATTAAAATGGAATTAAAGCTCACGAACTTAATATATCAATAAATTCAATATGGCATACGAAGCAATAAAAAGAGAGAGGAATGTGGAATAAAGATAGAAATAATAACCTTAGAAAATTTGAATCGTAGGGACACAGTTACAAAACAGATTCCACTGAGGACCAATAGAACCTCACAAATAAAACAAATTATTACAAATGTGATATGTTTATCAAATAATTGTTTTAAAAAAAAGTTATGTGGTTAATGGGAAATTATCTAATACGTTTTTAGTTTATGAATCTTATCTGTTATTTTTAAGTGTTTTACTATTGATTTTAATTATGATTTTTGATTAGGACGAAATAATGGTATCTTATATGTTAATATTGATAAGTTTATTGGTTTTATAGTATAATTGATGATTAGTACTTTTAAAAATTGTAAACATAAACATAGTTTTTTTTAAATAAAATATGCAATATAAAAATTTCTCATATAATATATCTAGACCAACTTCTTCCAACAACAATGATAAAAAAATAATTTAATCAACATAAAATCTCAAACAGCTAAAATACTCGGCAATTTTTAGAATTTTGTCTTATACTATTAAAAAAAACAGTTTTTAGTGAATTAGTTACTTTTTAAGATTATTTACAGCTAAAAAAATATCTAAATGACAGCAATTTGATTATATTCATATACAATGCTATTTTCTACTTTAGAAAATTGTATTTTATATTGCTAAAATTTGATAAGTAAGATGTTCTCATAAAGTATAGGTTTCCTCGCACTGCGCGCGACATTTATTAATAATTTTCAAATTTGTAACCCAATCAATATAACAATCTTACTTTTTTTATGATATTAAAGAATAGGTAATTAAGTATTGAAATAAAAAAACACCACAACCAGTTATATAAAATATTTGCAAACATAAAAAGTCTACTTTCTTTTTATTGATAAAACTAAAAAGCAGAAGTTTGTACACACTGATACTTCTAATAATGGTCTTTAACAAGCGTTATTTTTTAATTCGTGAAACTTTTACTTAAGAGAAACATTTTTTAGTATCGATAAATCTAATAATTTCTTTCCTTGCCAAAATAATTCACATTCATGAATATAATATTTAAAACTTTTTCATACTGAAAATATATAAAAACAATAAATTTAAATATTTTCTATATTTTATATTGTAATTTGTATTCATTTGTTACCTTTAATTCATAATAAAATACATAATATACTCAAATGAAATTGGATAAAAATAGCTAATAAATTATTATATCTTGGTATTAACTAACATAGTCTTACGTTGCAACTGGGTATTACTACTTTTTTCGCGTACTATAAACAGATATCACCTTTTTGCGTAAATTATATAATCATAATCTGATATTCTGTCCTATAAATGATATTTGCAGCATGGAAAGCAATAAAATTATTTTCTTTTGCATGAAAAAAAAATCAAAATGTTTATTTGTAGATATATTTCATTACTATCTTTTTCCGTATGTTGATTATTAAAATAATATAATTGATTTATACTAGATTCGATATTAGAAAAGATTTTGAATAAGTTAATTGATTGATACTATATTCGATATCAGCAAGAATTTTGAATGTATATTATAATTTATAATTCTTTGAGAATAGATTCAAAATTTATCATAACAAAATAAACAAAAAACGTTATTAAAACCAGCAAGATTATAAGATTATAATATAGCAAGAAATATTTAAAAAATTAAGTAAAAACATGTTCTAAATTTTTAATATTCGACTTCTGAACTTACAAATGAAATCAATAATAAAATATAAAAAATGAAGCATTTTTAAATAAAACATTTCACATTAATCGAAACTATAATTTATGAAGATTTTATTGTTTTT